AATAGCAGACCAATGAATAAAGGGATCTTCTTGACCTGCAGCAATACCAAACAATGACCAAGCAATAACAATAGAACCAGGAACATCACCCCCAATTTGTTCAGCATAAAAAATGGCATGCATTCCAAGGAAAAATAATCCTAAAAAGACCAAGACTTTAATGAAAAGGCTAGGTTCTTGGTCAGATAATTTTTCAGTAGTGAAAGTGGCAAAAGTGCTTAAAAGAAAGACAACTGCAATCCAAGCATGGTAAAGAGAAAATGGAAGGTGGATCGAAAGTTTATCGCCAAGGCTATGAGGTGGAAAGTTTTTTTTGAGAATCCAGTAAACATGACTAACTTGGCAACCGGTAATGACGATGGCAACCCATGAAAGAATAAAGAGGTCATTGACCCAAAGAGCGATCCATGCGGTATTCCAGAGTGAGATGGATATGAAGTGCCAATGAATACCTTCAGAAACAACTTCATCGACAGGGGTGAAGAATTGGTAAATTACTATAAGAAATACCACGTATATCACATGATGTTAGTTACTATTACGAAATATGTTGTACGTAGAGAAAAAATAATTACCAAAACATCCTAATAATAAATGAATAAGACCCCAAACGCCAAAAGTGAAAGCGGCTGGGGTAATATAGGTAGGACGGGTATCAGAATATGGGGATTTGTCCTATTGGCCAAAGAAAAAAGTTAATAGTAACTTTACACATGAATTTCATCACTTTTCACATTCTAAATTCGAGAATTAATATGTACTTTTTGAGGACCAAGGCCGGAATAAAGGTTAGTGCTCAAGAAACAGAAGTAAGTGATTACATTTAAAATCTTTATGATAAGTGACATGTCTTCGAAGCTTTTAAAATATCTACAAGTGAAAAAAAGATACAGTATATACAGGAAAAGATTGTGGTAAGATTTTTTTCTTTTTGAGGGGAAATGTGAGATAGGTGTGTTTATATAGTTTTATTGTATCTATACACAATATAATAAAAATTTTATTAATTTCGCAATTCACGTGGACTTTAACTGTAACCAGTGAGGTGATACGGATAATCTAGAAAACTAGGGAAAAATATTCATGCAATAATTAATTTAGTCCAAATTAATCATACATGTAACGTTGTAAAAATTGCTTAGCCCTTACTGATAAAGTGATTGGCGTTATGACGCATTCAATGTTTCTTCGTTTCAAAGATGAGAAACATCTTTATATATATTAACGTTTAAGAATATGCTGATTATTCATGAAATCAATCAATTTCTTAGGTGAGAGGAATTAACTACACAAGATTATGCCAAAAATGCCTTTTTAAAATCTTGCGTATAAAAAGTAGTGCATAAAAGATAGTTCTCCTTAAAACTTAATCTTGAAATAGTAAATCTTGCGCTCGATAACACTGTTTATTGAGAACAGGTGATCGTGTGAATACTTTGATCTTGATGTTCTGAAAGTATCGACATGTTTAGAATATCAATTATTAAAAGCGAGCGAGTGTATTTATTAATAGGTCAATGTTCAAAGTTGGTTAGAATAAATAACCTATCGTTATTGGTTAAAATTAAATAATTTTAATATTACAGGACATCTAATTTATATTATGAAATAACTGCTTTTAGTAAAAGTTTAATAATTTTTAAAAAAAAATCTTTTTATAATTATTATTTTTTTAATGTTAAGATAATCTTTTTGATCAAGTTATATACGTTATTGGTTAAATAAATATGCTTTTACAAATTTGCTATAATGCTTTTAATATTCAGTATACTTTAAAAAATCCCATTTATGTTTAATTGAATTTTAATAAAGATAGAGGCATGACCTCACCTTTGAAGATTAAAAAAAAAAAAAAAATCCAATTTATAATTTTTGGTTTTATTTAAATAATTGTTTGCAGGTTTTATACTAGTTATTAGTTACACAATATATTATATAAATATTTTTAATATAGGTTAAATGATTAATTTAGAGGGCTACTATTTCCATCATGGTATTTTGCTATTTCCACCATGTTACACAAAAATTACTATTTTTAGCACTTAATATGGTAGTATATATTATACAGTATACAGTAATACAGTCAGGGATATTTCCAAATTTAGTAAATCACATTTTGTGTAACAGATCACATTCTAGAACAATTAAAAAAATCATTCGACAATTCGATTAACCAATTTTTGACCGTTTTTAATAATTTCACATGATAAAATTTACACAAAATTGTCTTGTAACCCAATGAATGCTTACAAAACTAAAAAGTTTGAAGTAGGTAGTTTTATAATCAGTTAATGTTTTTTTAAAATCAACTCATTTTAAAAACTTATAGTTATTGCGAAATACAGCTCTTTTTGTTACTAAAAACTTCAAATTTTTTCTTTTTTAGCTAAAAATACGAGACATTCTCCGTACTTCGTTCTTAAATATCTTGAGGATCGAACTTTGGTGGTGCATTTAACCGTAAAGCATGTAATGTTGAATAATTTATACATATTTATTAAGAGATTCGTTACAATGTATATTATATACTGATACGCTTATTAACAGAGTTATTGTTCTCTTTCGTTCATAATCTCTGTACTGTTGTTTTCTGCACTTTCTTATTATCTGTTCTGGTATCATATATTCTCTAATAAGTACTATCTTTGGTGGTTTGTCTGTTGGCTCGGGAATATTATTAGAAACCGATCCCTTTTTGCTGCTGCTATAAAGAAATTTGACATAAGAAAGTTAATCCAAAACCAGTATGCAATAAATTTATTCGACCTCTTTTTGTATCTCATAGGAAGACTTTCGTATGATTGACTGCTTAAGTCTATTTAATTTTACAGTATTTATATAGTTTAGAGTACTTTTTAAGAACAATCAAACTACGAAAAATAAACAAAAAAGAAGTATATATAAAGTTTTATTCGGGTTATAGGACTCCATCATTAAAAATAATCAAAATCATTTTTGGTTTAGAGAAGTTATAACATAATAGCGACTTCTTAAAGATAGATATAATTTGGTTATTATCATGCTAACTTCTCTAAAACAAAAAGAGATTTTGATTATTTTTAATTGTGGAGTTCTACAAACTTTCTATATATTTCTTTTTTGTTTATTCTTCATAGTTTTATTTTTTTTAAAAAGTGCTTTAAACTGTATAAATCATATAAAATTAAATAAACTTAAACATCTAATCATACGAAGTCTTTCTATATCTTGTATAAGAATCTCTAATTCTATAATTTTTTTTCTTTATTAGTGGAATCTGGTCAACGACAACGAGTGGAAGAACTTCCTTGCGCTATTGCCTCTTTGGTTAAATTATATAAAGGTACTAGGTTAATAGAATGTGAAACTAAAGAATCACAAACAATACAGCATGCAGATAGTAAAAAACCCAAAAGTTGCCTTCCCTTATATAATGATTTTTTTCCTAAATTAGTTCAAATTGAAACACATTTAGAGGATTTTTCTTTATATGAAAAACATAACAATCAACTTATTGCATCTGATTTTTTTAGACAAATGCTTTCAGATTCAAGTTTGTCTAAAAGTAAGCGAAATAAACAAAAAAAACGGCAATTAAGTCATGAACCTGAAACTGAAAATGAATTAGT